ACCCAATTACAGAATTCATCAAGAACTGGGTTGAATTATCTCTTTCCATACAGTATCAGCATTAGCCTAATTAAAAGCTATAATGTCTGATATAATGATTAAATCGTTAGCTCTGCTGTAGGGAAGCAGTATTTTGTTTTCCCTTCAATTAGAAGCTGATTGAGGTTTTCAGAGCGGGTCAGCTGTGAAATCTGAATTATATGTGTGAGAGCTGCTCACGGGGTGAGCCCCTACTCGAAAGCTCCCAGAGATGCTCCAAATGCCTTCGCCCGAGAGCTGGCGGCGCCGGCGGCGGGGCGGGCTCTGCGGGGCGGCCTCGCGCTCGGTCCCCGAGGCCGCCGCGCGCTTCCCGGCCCGCGACCTGGCCCTTGGCCCGCGGGCGCCCCGGAGCGCCCGCCCCGCACGCGCGGCCGGCGAGGCGCGGCCCAGGCTGGAGAGCGCCGGGCCCTGGCGGCGCGGAGGCCCGCGGAGCCCTCGCTGGCGAGCGCGGTCCCCTCCCCAGCCGGGCGGCCCCTCCCTCGCCACAGACGGGAAACTTCGGGGCTACTTTGGCGGCTCCTGGCGTCCTTGGAGGGCCGCGGGCCCTTCGGAGCCGCCGAGGGCAGAGGGTGGGCCGGGAGGGCGGGCACGGGGGAGCCCCGCGCCCCGAGAGCCGCCGGGCTGCGAACCCCGCCGCGCAAGCACCCGCGCGCGCGCCCCGAGTCCGGCCCGCGGCGTGTGGCCGCGCGGGCGCCCGCGGAAGGCCTCGGACCCGCGTCCGCGAGGCCCGCCCGGGCAGTGGCCGCCAGACGGCGATCGCGGCCCGCGCGGCGGCCGGGCCGGGCCGGGGCCGGGGATGGGAGCGGAAAACCGGTCTCCCCGCCGCCGCCGCCGGCCCTGTCTCCGGGCGGGGCTCGCCGCCCCTCTCCCGCGCGCTGCTCGCCGGCGCCGTTTCCTCGCTGGGAGGCCGGCCGAGGAACTGGCGGGCCCCCCGTGATTTGCCTCCTTTGGACTCTGGTGCTAGCTTTTGGGGTGACACCGGGCCCGGGAAGGCTTCGCCCCGCGCGGCCCACCAGGCCTCCACGTGGCCGCGCCCTCCCCGGGCCTCGGGGGCAGCCGGCGGAGCCCGAGCCGGGCGGGCCGCACCGAGGCCAGAAGCCTCGGAGTTCAGTCCTCGCGCCCTGCGCCGGCTCAGACTGCCCCGGAGCGCCTCACCTGCCCACCTCTCACCTGCCCGGGGAGCGAAGCTGGCGCTGGCCCAGAAGGGCCCTCTGGAAGCCCGCGGCTGGCGTTCACCTCAAACCTCGGCCCCGCACTCTGTCGCCAGGACCTCTGTGCTCCACGGGTGTCTCCCGGCACAGCCAGGGGGAGGGCGAGCCGCAGCGAACCCCACGGGGCAGCGGAAGGGGAAGGTAACCGTGTCAGAGCAAAGTCCAGAACTCAGTTTACTCAGAGGTGCAGGACTCTCTCGTGCAGTTGCGTGAACACATCACACACATTCTCCACGTGTGTGCCCTGCACAGACACGCGCAGTCTGTATGCGCACATGGAGGTGCACGTGCCACTCCCATCAGCACAGTCGCATGCAGGTGCATGTTGTGTGCACACACGTGCGTGTGCACATGTGCAGTTGCTGTGTAAATGCACAAGGGTGTGTACATGTGCCCATAGATTGTGCCTCTGTGTGTATGCACATCGGCGCATTCATGTGCAGCCTGGGTGCACGTGCACGTATGCCCTGCACATATGCGTGTGTATGTGCTTACACGTGTGCTGTGTGTGCACCCATGTACACATGTTCTGGATACACTGTGTGCATGTGCGTTGTGTGCACATGCGTATGGTTTGTGTGTGCACATTTACACATGCATCCAGTACCTGCTTCTTGGTGCACACGCGTGTGTGCCTATCTTAGGGGCGTATAACCATGCCCGTGCGCATAGGCACACCTGTGTGTATCTAAGTTCTTCTACAGGCAGCTTGGGTCTGAATTTTTTTTTGAGGATCGTGCCCATGGGTTAAATGAAAGAACAGAAAACATCTTTACTCATCCACAATTCTACGTTGGTGTTTGGCATTTTGGGTAGAGAGAGACAATGAAGTTTCTGAGGTGCCAAGAGAGGGCATCTGGCCAGCCGACAGTGAAGGCACCGCCCCTCGGCGGGCTCTGCCGTGACTGGGAAACCTTTGGGTCCATCTCCACATCCTCTGGAGCCCAGCGCGGAGAAGGTCCTCTTTCAGCGCAGGAAGGAGATTCCCTGGCACCCTGGTGCGGGGCGGGGGGCGGAGACAGAGAATGGGGGAGAGGGGGTGTTTTCTCCAAAGGGCTTGGAACTGTTTTCTCTCCTTTTAAAAAGTCCCTGGGGAGAGGGGTCAGAAGGAACAAAACACGGACGCCCCCAGGAGCCACTGCCCACCGGAGTGTGAGGCGCCCGTCTTCGTGCCAGGATGGAGGGCACGGAGAGCTCTGGCAGCGCTGCCCTGCCCTGCCTAACTGGCACCGGCTGCAAGTGTCAATCATCCATCGCTTGGCAACAAGTTACACCTGCAGCCCTGCTGGAAGGCTCACGCACGTGGGCACTGGGGTGCGCGCCCACTTGGGCCTGGGGAACACGCGTCACTCGGTGGGGCTGCTGGAGAGCGCGCGGCCCCAGAGCGCACGCGGGCCGGGGCTCTCACCGCCGTGTGGACGCTCGAGCACAAGGGCGGCGTATTTGGAAACAATTTTCAGGACCACGGTGGAAAGAAGCTGGAGCGTTTCAGAGTCAGCTACCCAAGTTCCCGAGGCATAAAGCCGTCCTGCGAGGCGCGCCGAGCGCCGGGTGCTTATGAAATAAATTGCTCCATTGATATGGAGAATAATGTGCCAGGCACGACTCAAACAAAGCGTTTTCAGGGGGTCTTAGGCTATTTAGTTTAAAATCTAAATTGAAAAGCAGAGGAAAGAAATCTTTCAATCGCTAAGTGGATAATATAGTTTATAATTTGTAAACCATTTCCTTTATTTCCGTCTTGCTGACTTCCCCGAACGCGCCGGTCCCGCCGCCTCCCGAATGGTCCCCGGGAAGCCGGTCTCCGGCGTCCGAAACAATATTCTTGTTCTTTTTTTGTGCGCGCACAATGTCGCTGATGTTTGCGGGCGGCGCGGAGACAAATCAGAAGGTTTAACAAACTCGACGGGTGAAATAAGAAGGTGGCTGAAAATCGAGTTTATAACCGAGACGGTTTGCAAAAATAAATATGAAATGACGCCTCCTTTCTCACACAATGGCACAGTGTTCGACGAGCCCCCTGTCAGCTGCTGGACGGCCCGACGTGGACGCGGTTAAGCGCGGGGACCCGCTGGCGGCGGCGCTCGCGGCCCTCGCGGGGACGTGGTTCCGGCTGCGCGGGCGGGCCACGGGCCGGGAGTGCACGGCCCGGTTCTTTAACCGAGAGCGGGAGCGACGGTGTCGCCGCCCGGCACGCTGGCCCCGGCGCCCGCTCCGCGCCGGGCCGCGCGCGTTCACCCGAGCGGGGCGGCCGGCCCGGCCCGGCCCAGCCTGGCCCGGCCCGCAGGGGCCCGAGCGCCGCCTCTCGCCGCCGCGCCGCGGCCGCCGGCTCCGCCCGCCAGAAGCCCCGCGCCTCGGCGGGGCCGGGCGGGGCCGGGGGGCCGGGAGCGGGCGGGGCGCGCCGGGGCCGGCCGCGGGGGCGCGAGCGGGAGGGGCGCGGGGCGCGGGGCGAGCGGCCCCGGGGACTCGCCCGGGGAGCGCGGCCGGGTCGTTGCTCTGCGGTTTCCACAAACTTTCCCAACTGTTGTCGGGCAACGGGACGCGCGGCTGTTGGCGAGCGCGCCACGGCCCCGGCAGGGGGGCGCCCACGGGGGAGGCGGCCGTCACCCCCGGCTCGGGAGGGCGCCCCGGCCCGCCCCGCCCCCGCCCCGTCCCCGTCCCCCGCCTCGTCCGGCGCTCGAGGCCAGCGCGCGGGCGTCGGGTGCGGAGGGGCGAGGCCGGGCCGGGCCCGGAGGCGGCGCTGGGCGGCCCAGGACGCGGGCGGGCGCGCGGGGAGGGCCCGGGCGGCGGCGCTCGGGGGGCCCCGCGCCCCAGGGCCCCGCCTCCCCGGCCCCCAGCGCGCCCGGGCCCCCGCGACCCCTCCCGGCGGGCGGAGGGCGGAGGGGCCGGGTCTGCAGCGCGCCCCCGCCCGCCCCGCCCGCCCCTGCCCGCCCCGCCCGCCCGGCCCTGCCCGGCCGCCCGGTCCCGCCGGCGCGCGGGGGGCGGGGGGCGGGGGGCGGCCGGGCCCGGCGCGGCGCGCGCCCAGGAAGCAGCGTGGCTGCGCCCCCGCCCCCCTCTTCCTGCCCCGCGCCGCCCCCGCCGCCCGCCCCCCGCGCGTCAGCCGCCGGCGCGCCATGCAAATCACCGGCGCCGGCGGCTCCCATTGGCCGCGCCGCGCTCATTTAATGGCAGCCCGGGCCCGGCGTATGGCTGCTGGGCCCCGCGCGCCGCCGGCCCCGCGTGCGCTCCGCTCCAGCGCCGGCCGCAGCCCCGGGCAGCCCGTCCGGGCTCGGCGGCCCCGTCCAGGCCCGCGCGCCCTCCGCGGCCCGGCCCCCGCCCCCGCGCGCGGCCCCCGGCGCCGCCCCCCCGCGCGCCCGCCCGCCGGGGCCGCCCGAGCCGGAGCCGGAGCCGGAGCCGGAGCCGCCGCCCGCGCCGGAGCCCGAGGAAGGCGGCCGCGGCGAGCCCCGGGCCGGGCCCGCGCGCCCCCACGGTGGAGCCGCCGCGCGGCCGCGACCGCACCTGCTCGCCCCGCCCGGCCGAGCGCGCCCCGGCGGCGGCCACGGCGAAGACGGAGACCCCGGGCGGCGCCCGCGCGGGCGAGCGGCGGCCGCGCCGGGAGGACCTGGGCGCCCCGGAGCCCGAGCCCGCGCCGGACGGCCGCTGAGCGCGCGCCGCTGCCCCGCCGGGCCGCGCCCCGCCCGCGCCCCGCGCCCCGCCCGCGCGCCCCGCCGTCTGCGCTCCCGGCCGCGCCGCGCCGGCCCCGCCGCCCCGATGTACGGCATGATGATGGAGACCGACCTGCACTCGCCCGGCGGCGCCGCGGCCCCCGCGAGCCTCTCGGGCCCGGCCGGCGCGGGCGGCGGGGGCGCCAAGGCCAGCCAGGACCGCGTCAAGCGGCCCATGAACGCCTTCATGGTGTGGTCCCGCGGGCAGCGGCGCAAGATGGCCCAGGAGAACCCCAAGATGCACAACTCGGAGATCAGCAAGCGCCTGGGCGCCGAGTGGAAGGTCATGTCCGAGGCCGAGAAGCGGCCGTTCATCGACGAGGCCAAGCGGCTGCGCGCGCTGCACATGAAGGAGCACCCGGACTACAAGTACCGGCCGCGCCGCAAGACCAAGACGCTGCTCAAGAAGGACAAGTACTCGCTGGCCGGCGGGCTGCTGGCGGCGGGCGCGGGCGGCGGCGGCGCGGCCGTGGCCATGGGCGTGGGCGTGGGCGTGGGCGCGGCGGCCGTGGGCCAGCGCCTGGAGAGCCCGGGCGGCGCGGCGGGCGGCGGCTACGCGCACGTCAACGGCTGGGCCAACGGCGCCTACCCCGGCTCGGTGGCGGCGGCCGCCGCGGCCGCGGCCATGATGCAGGAGGCGCAGCTGGCCTACGGGCAGCACCCGGGCGCGGGCGGCGCGCACCCGCACGCGCACCCGGCGCACCCGCACCCGCACCACCCGCACGCGCACCCGCACAACCCGCAGCCCATGCCCCGCTACGACATGGGCGCGCTGCAGTACAGCCCCCTCTCCAACTCGCAGGGCTACATGGGCGCGTCGCCCTCGGGCTACGGCGGCCTCCCCTACGGCGCCGCGGCGGCTGCGGCCGCGGCCGCGGGCGGCGCGCACCAGAACTCGGCCGTGGCGGCGGCCGCGGCGGCCGCGGCCGCGTCGTCGGGCGCCCTGGGCGCGCTCGGCTCGCTGGTCAAGTCGGAGCCGAGCGGCAGCCCGCCGGCCCCCGCGCACTCGCGCGCGCCGTGCCCCGGGGACCTGCGCGAGATGATCAGCATGTACTTGCCGGCCGGCGAGGGCGCGGACCCGGCCGCGGCGCAGAGCCGCCTGCACTCGCTGCCGCAGCACTACCAGGGCGCGGGCGCCGGCGTCAACGGCACGGTGCCCCTCACGCACATCTAGGGGCGCGCCCCCCGCGCCCCGCGCCCCGCGCCCCGGCCCGCGACGGACGCCGGGGACACGCGCCCGCCGGAGGCGCCCTGTACAGTATTTATCGCCCGCGCCGGACACGGACCAGGCCCCGAGCCCCGGCCCGGCCCGCCGGACCCCGCCGGACCCCGCCGGCGTGCGCGCCGCCGCCCCGAAGCCAGGCGACCCGGACGCACCGCGTGGGGCCGGCCGCCGCGTCGGGCTGCTTCGCTGATTCGCACCGAGACCCGCGCGCGCGGCCGGCGTTTGTGAAACTTTCCTGCCCGAGCGCCCGGCCCGGTTCTGTGTGATTCCCTGTAAATGCGCTGCGAGATCTTTACTCTCGCGGGGCGGCGCGGCCTGTGCAGAGTCTCCTGGAGGCCCTGGCAATGCAGAGGCCCCTCCAAAAACGCCCCGGCGCTCCGAGTCCTGCATCGAGAGACAAAGACGAGCCGCCCCGCCCCGCGCGGGCCGCCTGCGGGCTGGTCCGGGCGCGGGGCGCGGGGGGCGGCGGGCGGGCGGGCCGAGGAGCCGGCGCCGGGGCGGCCGGGCGGGGGTCGGGGCCGGCGGGGCGGGCGGGCGCGGGAGCCGGGACCTCGCGAGGGGCGCTTCGGCGCGGAGCGAGAACAATGACCCCGCGCCGCTCCCGGCCGCCGGCTCCCGCGCGGGCTCCGCCGAGCGGGGACGCCCCAGGGGACCCCGCCCCCGCCCGCCGGAGGGCGACCCCGCGGGCCGGCCCCCCGCAGTTGGCGCGCCGGGCGGGTTTGCAGAATTTGCCCCAGGACACCGGCTCCGCCAGGGGCCTGGCGGCGGGCGGCGCGCTCCGGGGAGGGGCGCCCCGGGTCCCCCACCCCGGGCCTGGGACCGACCCGCCTCGCGACCAGACGGAGGTGGTTTCACGCTTTAAATTTTTCAAGTCTATTTTTTCTAGGTGTTTATCGGTACATCACGTTCTTTTCTGGAATTCAGAGTTTTCTGTAAAACCCCGTCTCCAGGTGGCCCGACGGCTCTAAATCCCGCATCCGGAGTCACCCCGCGCCCGGCGCCCGGCGCGGCCACCGCGGGCGAGGAGAGGCCGGGCAGACGCGCGGGGGAGCGGACCGGCCCGACGCGCAGCTCGGAGCGACGCCCGCCTGGCCTGGACGCGCCGTCCTGGAGTTTTTGATAACTTTGCTTACAGCACCCGCCCCAAGTGACTGAGAAATTTCAAGAATGGTGTCCGCTGCTTTCTCGCAGGAAAATAAAGTCCCCTCTCTTTTTCCTTTTCTTTCTTTTCCTTTCTGTGGCTGCGCCCGCCGTGCCAGGCCCGCGGCTCCTGGGGCAGTAGCTGGGCCGCTGCGCGGAGGCGGGGCGCGCTGGCCGGGGGTGCGGCCTCCCCGCCCTGCTGCGCTGCGCCGCACCCTGGGCTTGAGGCCCAGACAGTTCGTCCCGGGCCGCCCCCAGCCCTGCACCTGCTCTCCCTGGGGCGAGGCGTGTGCCCGGGCGGTGCCCGTGGGCATCTGACGCGCACCTGTCGGCTGCGGCCCCACCGCGCGGCGCTTCTCACTGTGAAAGTTCGCGGCGGGTCGAGCGGGCCGCGGCCCCTTCACCTGGAAGGTGGACTTGGCTCCCCCAGCGCCCGAGCACCAGCTGCGGCCCCGGTGCCAGCTGCACGGGCTGGGCCGGGAGCAGACAGCAGGGCGCGAGGGCGGGAGTCCCGGGGCGGCCGCCAGCCTCGTCGATCGGGCGCAGGAGGCAGCGGGCGCAGGAGGCAGCGGGGCAAACTCTGCCCAGGCCGGGGCCAGTCTCGGGTGGAGGCTCCATCCCAGGGGCTCCGGGGCCCAAGCCCTGGAGAGGACACGGCCCGGCCAGCGGCCTCACCAGGCGTGACCTCGGCCTCCCGGTTCTCAACAAGTGGGGGCGCCTGCTGGGCCCTTCGCTCCCCAAGTCACCAGCGCTGCTGCAGCCCCCCTGCGCGCCGCCTCCTCTGGAAAGGCCCCCGTTTGTCCCCCAGGGGCGCGCGGGGGTGAAGGGCCGGGGCGAGGCCGGGCCGGGGCCGCGGGGCCAGAAGGCGCAGCCACGCGCCTGGAGCTCCACCGGGCCGGGCTGCGGTGCCGTGTCCAGAAACGCCCGGTTCGCCCGGGAAACCCGCAGCGGCCTGGGCTGCAGCGCCCCCCGCCCCCCGCCCCCCGCTTCCGCAGCCTGACCCGGGCAGAGGCTCCAGCAGCGTCGGCAGCAGAATTTAATAATAGGTTTGATTCCTTGGAAACTTCAAGTGAAAAGCAGCCTTGGCCTTGGCGGCTCCGTCTCCAGCGCGACGATTTGGCGGGATTGAAAGGCCGGGCCGGGGGCGGGGGCGCGGGCGGGGCGGGGGGGGCCCCCACTCTCGCAGGGGCGGCGCGCAGAGGCCGGGCCGGGTGGGGGCGCGGGGGCCCCTTCCCCGCCCGGCCCGGCCGCCCCCCAGGCGAGGCCCGCGGGGGGCAGGGCGACACCCCCCCCTCCCGCCCCGCCCGCGCCGCCCGCCCGCCCGCCCGCGCTCCAGCTGCGCCCGAGGCCGCGCCCCGCCCAGGCCCGAGCGCTGGGGGCGCACCAGGCCCTGGTCCCCGGGCCCCGCGGCTCCTCTGCGGCCGGCGCCTCCGACCCCCCGCCTGCGCGCCGTGCGGGGCGCCCCCGCGCCGCCCCCCGCGCCGCCCCCCGCGCCCCCTCCCGCGCCCCCGCGCCCCCCGCGCCCCCGCGCCCCTCCCCGCCTGGCCCGCGGCCTCCGCTCCCCGCGGCTCCTGGACCTCCGCCGCGCCCGGCCTCCCGCCGGGTCCCTTTGTCTCCACGCCCGGCGCCCCGACTCGGGCCAGGCGCCCCCGCGCGTGGGGGCCGGTGCTGGGGGCCCCCGTCGGCGTCCCCCGGGCTCGGGCCCCCCAGTCCTGCGGCCGGTGTCCGCGGGGATTAAGGGGACGCGGGAGGGAGCGTCTTGTGTCTGGAGAGAGCGGGACTAGGGGCGAGGCCCTGGAGGGCAGCCCTTTCACGGTGCGGGGTGGGGCGGGTGGCCCTGGGCCCGCAAGGGGGGGGCGGGGACCTGCACCCCAGCAGGCGGACGGGTGGGGGTGGCGCAGGCGCTCAGCCCCTGGCCAGCATGTGTGGGGGGCGTGGGAAGAGGCGAGGCCTGTGCCCCCACCGGGCCCGCACCCCATGGCTGTTGGGGGGCGCGGCCAGGGCCGGGGCAGGGTTGGGGGCTTGGACCAGGAGCCAGGACCCTCCAGCCTCACCGGCTCTGTCCAGGCGCGTTCCTGCCCCCACTCCTGGAGGCCGGGGGCCCTAGGTTCTTGCACACCCTGGGGTGCAGGAGCACGAGCACGCTGTGCAGTGGGGGCCATGCACCCTGCTAGGGCTGGGGGCACTGGACCCGGCAGTGCCAGGGGAGGAGGGTGAGGCCTGAGGGGGTAGCCCCCAGGCTTGAGCTCAGGGGAACCGGAGAAGTGGGGACAGGAGTTTGGGGTGAAGAGAAGAACGCAGGCGTCTGTGCCCTCCTTGGCATGTGGGGTTTGTGCTGAAACAGGGCCGGGAGTTTTGGCAAAGGTGAGAAGTGGGGAACCCGAGCGAGTGGGGTCTTCAGACACAGGCAGGGTGGCGGGCGGAGCGGGGGCCAGAGAGGGCGGCTGCCGTCCCCCTTTGACCGGACACCGGGGAGAACACCAGGAGCGCAGAGGGGCGAGGGGACCCTCTGAAGCCGCCCGGCCGCCGCCAGCAGGACACGCTCTCTGGAGGGCAGGCGCTCGAGGTCGGGGGAACCACAGCTCACCGTGGCCAAGTCACTCAATGTGGCCCGTGGGGAGCCGCGTCTCTGGGGGACCCTGGACCCCCGAGAGGCGTGCAACCCCCAGGCCCGGTGTCACTGCCCACGGCCGCCTCCCACAGCCGCGTGGGGCCTGGCGCTGCCGCAGGGAGCAGCAGGCCGTCGTCACATGCAAAGCCTCGGAATAGCAGCCAGTCACATCAGCGGGAAATCAGCTTTTGTTAGATTTTGCAGTTTCAGGAATTAGGCATTCTCTGCAGAGCGCAGCTTTGAGAAACTGCACTGTCAGGCGTGTTCCCAACGGGGGGTGCTGTGAGCATGTGCGGGGGCGTGGGGAGGGGGCTATGGGAGCGTGGGGTGGGGGATCCTGTGAGTGTGGGGTGGGGGATCCTGTGAGCGTGAGATGGGGGATCCTGTGAGCGTGAGGTCGGGGATCCTGTGAGCACGTACCGGGGCGTGAGATGGGGCCTGACAATGGGGAATCTGGCCAGAGCTGCCACCCAGACAGGGTTCTTGCTCTGTCTGACCCCCTGGAAATGCCAGGAGAGACGGCACTGGAGGCTGAGGCTCTCCACGGGGCGTGCTCACCCCTGCGGGGCCTGATGAGTGTGGAGACAGGGGCGCTCACCTCCCCTGTCTGAGCACAGGGCAGAGCCCCAGGGCGCGGTTTGGCTTGGGGAGGAGGAGAATCTCCTGGGTTTAGGGCTCTGCGGAGGCGCTGGGCAGTGGAGGAGCCGGGTGCCCGCCCTCGCATGCGCCTCCATGCAGCCCAGCTGAGCCCCCTTCTTGCGGACGAGCCGGAGTGACGCCTGTGCTGGAGGCCACCTCCGCTTCCCCCTCACGGGCCCGGCTGCGGGACAGGAGGTGCCGTGGACACGCTGGCTTCCTACTGGTGGCCACTGGGCGTGCCAGGGCCTGGGAGCGGGCGCGAGGCTTGGAGTCAGGCAAAGTGACTGGTGGCCAGTGGCCTGCCAGCTCCCCCCACCCCAGCTGCCTCTGTCCTGAGCAGAGACACTAGCAGCAGCCTGTGAGGCCACCGCAGGGTGACCCTCAAGGATGGAATGCAGCCTGGCCGACTGGGCAGGAGTGGACAGTGGGGCCAGGATTCTGTGCTGCGGGCGCCCGCCCCGGCGGCTGAGTCAGCGCCCGTGAGCGTGTCTGTTGCCAGGTGTGGATGCAGAGACCCCCGTCGGGGCTGCGGGCCGGGCTGCCTGGGCCGTCAGCACCA